ATATACTTAATTCTATCTTAGCTTTAAAATTACATTATTTAAAAAAATTTTAAATTCTAACTAAACATAAAGACTATAATATTAAAAGTAAATATGTTTTCAACATAATGTGTCCTAATAATAATAATATGTAATATATTAAAATAAGTTTAAAAATAAATAAATAAAATATATTAATTATTTTATTATTAATGTGTTTGTCTGTTATTTTTCAATTTCTATTTCTACTGTTTTGTTTTTCAAAAAACAGCCGTTTTCACCAGACTTTACTCAAAGCTGTTCCATGAAAATTTGTGTAAAGAGCGTAATCTGGCACTTTATTTGTGTTACGCTCTCAGTTTGTACTTTACTTCTGTTTTACTCATGGTTTACTATGTGTAGCTCGTGGAACAGACCTATTATCACACTACACACTTTATTTGCTTCAAAATATGAATCGACTTAGTGATGTTAAAGATTGACATTAGATTAAGCTATTTTTAATTTCCTAAAGTTTATGAACTTAATCTGGAAGGTCTTTGTTTCCAAAACAATCATATCACTTGTTATATCCCAAGGGATCGACTTAAGCCTATTGCGTTATCATATAATAAGAAACTCAAAGGTTAGAACTACTTAGAACTTAGAACACATCTCGGCAAAAAATGCGATGACTCAAAGATATGCCAGCATCTGATGCAATTTGGCCACGCTCCAATAAATGAAAATTAAACTCTCTAATTGAGATGCCTCGTAAAGAAATCAGTCTTATAGTAAGTTTACTTACAGATCATTATATTTTGGGTAATCATACTAAGAGACTAAATCTCCTTTTCAATAATACCTGTCGCAGTTATGGAGAGGACGATGAAAGTAATTAAAAAGTAATTAAAAACTGAATCTGCATGATATTCTTCGTTAAACAGTTCCACGGTGACCTTATGTCCGAAATAACTTTTCGTCAAGAATGTCATATATTAATATAAAACAATTGACTTATTTCTTTTATTTATTATATTTTAATTTCAGTTCTACTTCTATTTTATATTATGTTGAAGCTGTTTTGAGCCAGTGCACTTAAGCAGTTTTACTCTTTTTTAACTCGAGGTATTTTCAAAACCCCTCTTTACACCTTGACTTCATCTGACTAAGGAATAATTGACTTCAGATGTGCATACTTCTCCGAGAATCCTGTAACCATTCTATTTCTCTTGAAGAAACACTCTTTAAGTCATCTTAAATCCAAGACAGTAGGGTATATTAAAAGTCATACTTCCAAAAACATTGTCCATATCTCCGGTTTACTTAGGATTCATTTTGCTATTAACCAAATAGTTGTATCCTTTAAGAATCAATTTCACACTAATAGAAGAAAAGCATTTATAGGCACAATCTACATGATATTACATCTACTCATCGATATTCTGTATTGCTTTTAAGAGATAGCTATCATAAGCTAATTTGTGTAATCAGTTTAAAGAATACATAAGCTCCCGTTAAGAAAATATAATGCTTGAAATACCATTCCAAATTATAGTAGATATAGTACAAGCTATATCTATATCTATCTAGAAGCTATTTGATGTAAGTATAACTAATTTTCTGAAGATATATAGCATAACTTAATGTAGCAACATTTATTTTTTTTATGTATCCGGTTGACAACGAAAGGATTCCTAATCAAAGAAATCTTAAAGACGTGAAAACATACCTGAAAACGTATCGATCGACGATCGCTAAAGATATTTTTGGATAAAGGAGTATATGTCTTTAATTACATTTTATGTACGTATCTTGAAATCTAGATGCTGTCATGTCCTCCACAGGGTTCGTGCTCATGTATAAATGGGGTGGCGTAGTAGTATTGCTCTTTGTTGTATTATTTTTAGTTTCAGTGAACTATATCCATAGTAGTATACTTTGTTTGTGTAAATGTTTAGTGAAGCAGACGCTGTCCTGAAATAGCTTTGAAGATGTCAGTAATTTGAAAAACTGGGTATTAAATCAGTTTATTATTTATTTATGGAAATTTTCCTGAACACATGAAACTCTTTTGAAAAAAAAATTGTTATTAATCCTTTGGAGCTTCAGTATTTAAACTTTTACCGGTCATTGTCAAAGAAAGGCGGATAGCAAATTTGGGCTCAGTAGCCTTAAATGAACCAAAAAGAACTTGAGAAAGAGAAAGAGAAAGTGTGACATATTATTTATCTGCACATTTACCTATGCGTACCTCTCTGAGGGTTAGGAGGTCGAACTTTTGCTGTTGTTGTATTTACTATTAACTGCTAAAAGATTGAAAATATTTGTGAGTTTATTGATAACCATTAAAATAATGGTAAGTAATTATTTTATAATTCATTTAATTTCAAACTAAAGCTTTAAAAAGAAGTGCATAAAAATCATTTCCGCTCTTCAAAATCTAGCCATATGCCACCGTTTAGATATGCCATGAAATATATTTCATCCAAATAATTATCTTTGCGTGTCTTCGGGTTAAGCTTTATATTGAAATTACGTACAATTTCAACAATTGCAGCTTTCATTTGAGTGAGTGCAAAACGCATTCCTACATAATTTGTAAATAAATATATAAGTAATATCATGAATTAAAATAAAACAGTTATAGTTACCGGGGCACACTCTGGGACCATCTCCAAATCCGAGATAAACACCCATTTCACGATATTTCTTTACACCACCATTTTCCTCTAAAAATCGTTCTGGTTTAATTTCTTCTGGATCCTCATAGTATTCAGCATCATGATGTATAGCGTGTATAGGCACTAGAAGGACTTCACCTGGATGAACCTTGACGGTGTTGCCATTTTTATTGACGAATTCATATGTTTCTGTGCACAGTTTACGTGCAACTAATTGTGGTGGGAATAAGCGTAAAGCCTCTATGGATAAAAAATATTAACAAATTAAATAAAATTTCAAATACTTCTTTAGTACGATAACTTCATAATTACGAACCATGTACGCAGGCATCCAGATAAGGTAATTCACTTAATTTTTCAAAACTGAGTTCTTCATTACCGATCTCAGTCCGTAGTTTCTCTTGAGTTCTTGGTTCACGTGCAAGCTTAAATAATTAAAGCAATTCAATTAATTTTTTAAATATGAAATATTATATATGAAAATACCAAAAGTAAAGTATGTGCCAACACTGCAGAGGTGGTCTCGAATCCATCAGTCAAAAACGTCATCGTATGAGATATAAGTTCTATGTTCGTTAAATTTTTCTTCTCTTGCAATTGAAGCACATAGTTCAGATAATCCAAGCGTGTAGTATCTCTAGCTTTGCGTTTAATGTCGATGGAGGTACTCATTAAATCGAAGAAGAAGTTTTCAACATCCTTGGTGAAAAATCTTGCTGTGTAGATTTTACGTATTTGCGGTATTAGATTCGCAATTACAGTATACAAAATAAAAAAGGTGGATTGTTTAAAGACTTTCAATGTCATATCGAAAATCGGAGTAGGATTGTTTGAGAAGCTGTTGGCTTTTATTCCAAGTACACAGTCCGAAACGACCTCAGTAGTATAGCGTAAACATAACTGTATGGTAATAGATTTTTAAATTGAATTTAAATAATTTTAAATAATCACTCGGCGTCATACCTGTTTGGTTTCCAATCCATCTTTTGATGCCATTTTTATTTGATTTCTGATATAATCTGACAACGTGTTGCAAACTTTTAATGTAACTGGGTAAACAGCACTCACCTATTTTGCAGTTATTTAAATGATAATCGCATAAATTAAAGAAATAATAAAAAATTAAATTAGTTTTATTGAAAAGCCAAAGTGCTCGCTGCTCTCATGTATAGTACAATATTTGTATGATAACCTTTTCTGTATCATATAAAGGAAATTTAATTCTGGGTCATTTTTAATTATCAATTAAATAAAGAAATAGGCAATTAATTATTGTAAGTATTAAATTTGAAACTTAAATATATTTGAATTTTATTCTAGTTTTTTTACTTACACGATTCGCTGTCAGACCCGGTGTTATTTCAGCACGTCTTTCCTTCCATTCCTCGCCAGTGAGGAAGAAAATATTATTGGCGAGTATAACATCGTTATTTTTATCCACCTTACAATAAAAATAAAGCAAATATATATGTTAATATGTTAATATAATTAATTAATTAATTAATTACAAAATTAACTTACAAAATTAGCAAACTCATTGTCGTGAAAATTTCTGAAATCGTTGACGAATATCTTATGTGCGTATTCGGGGTTCACTATTAGTAACTGAGGTGTGCGAGCATTGTATACTCCAACAAAATTCTCATCTTGTTTGTATTTTCTATTATTGATAAAATTAGTATTGAAAATAATTAAACAATTATTTAATATAATATTATTACGAACGTACTGATATAAATCATTTACATCGTATACAACATGACGTTTCTGCGTAAATTGACTGGGAAAACTACCAACAAATGGGTATGACTTTCCCTCTTTGACACCCAATTTTTTCCAATAACCAAAGTTCCATACTAGAAACTTATAAAATAAACCAGCGACCAGTGCTAGAAGCACAAAAGTAGTAAAAAACGGACACATTTCTATATATGACTTGCGTCCTCCTTTCTTTGTCCGATACTAAACTCAACTAAATACAAAAGTTTCGCATTCGAGAGCACTTTTGCTACTTGTAGGCTCTATCTAGACTAGGTTACATATTAGGTCTGTTCCACGAGCTACACATAGTAACTTTGAGTAACACTGTGTATACACAAGTGCGTTCCACGAACAAATTTGTGAGTAAATGAGAGCATCTGAGAGAGCGTAACATCCCTGTCGAAATTTGAAAATGTTACGCAGACTTTACTCATGCATTTTATATGAAGTAAAATTTGTGTTTATGTGTAAATCAGCTGTTATGGTTTGAATTCAAATTTTTGTATTGTTTGTTTGCGCGGCATTTGTGAATATAAAAAAATTCTGCATTTTTAATTGTAACAATTGTAATAAATAAATATTGAAATGGATAAAAACATAATAAATATTTTATTAAGTGATTTAAGTAACACAACACAACCAGAATAGTTAATACACTTCGAGATAGTGACTCTGACGATAATGTAGAATTGGTGTATTCGATATTACATAAAAAAAAAAGAAAACGGACATCCAGGCTCCTGTCATGACAGTTGGATCTTATAAAACTCTCCTATTTATATGCGACTACCATCGAACTGTGGAGGTAAGTTCTTTGGAAAAGGAAATGAGATTTATTAAAACGTCTTACCTTTATAGAATACTATCTACTAGCTGATTCCGCATACCCCTGTACACAACACATCATTACGCCATATAAAGACAACGGGCGTCTTACTCGTGCACTAAAGAATTTCAATAGAAAATTGGGGTCAGGTCGAATACTAATAGAAAATGCATTTGGTATTTTAAAACAACGTTTTAGACAGCTGTTCTTCTGTAAATTAAAAGGAGTTGAAAAACCGTGTCACTTTATAAGAGCATGTTGCGTTTTGCACAATCTTGCAAATGAAAACAACTTAGAATTCACATTTTCAGAACAATCTGAGGAAGATAATGATGTCAACAACCACATCCCTTTTAGATCAAGTATCGTTAGAGATTCGATTTGGAATGAATTACAAACAGAAAATAACTTGTATTAAAGTGTTTATTTGTATATTGCTTACTTTTCATTAATTAATTTTATTAATATTGCAATAAAGAACTTAATTCTAATAAACATATTAACATCACATTTTATAAATATATACTTAATTCTATCTTAGCTTTAAAATTACATTATTTAAAAAAATTTTAAATTCTAACTAAACATAAAGACTATAATATTAAAAGTAAATATGTTTTCAACATAATGTGTCCTAATAATAATAATATGTAATATATTAAAATAAGTTTAAAAATAAATAAATAAAATATATTAATTATTTTATTATTAATGTGTTTGTCTGTTATTTTTCAATTTCTATTTCTACTGTTTTGTTTTTCAAAAAACAGCCGTTTTCACCAGACTTTACTCAAAGCTGTTCCATGAAAATTTGTGTAAAGAGCGTAATCTGGCACTTTATTTGTGTTACGCTCTCAGTTTGTACTTTACTTCTGTTTTACTCATGGTTTACTATGTGTAGCTCGTGGAACAGACCTATTATCACACTACACACTTTATTTGCTTCAAAATATGAATCGACTTAGTGATGTTAAAGATTGACATTAGATTAAGCTATTTTTAATTTCCTAAAGTTTATGAACTTAATCTGGAAGGTCTTTGTTTCCAAAACAATCATATCACTTGTTATATCCCAAGGGATCGACTTAAGCCTATTGCGTTATCATATAATAAGAAACTCAAAGGTTAGAACTACTTAGAACTTAGAACACATCTCGGCAAAAAATGCGATGACTCAAAGATATGCCAGCATCTGATGCAATTTGGCCACGCTCCAATAAATGAAAATTAAACTCTCTAATTGAGATGCCTCGTAAAGAAATCAGTCTTATAGTAAGTTTACTTACAGATCATTATATTTTGGGTAATCATACTAAGAGACTAAATCTCCTTTTCAATAATACCTGTCGCAGTTATGGAGAGGACGATGAAAGTAATTAAAAAGTAATTAAAAACTGAATCTGCATGATATTCTTCGTTAAACAGTTCCACGGTGACCTTATGTCCGAAATAACTTTTCGTCAAGAATGTCATATATTAATATAAAACAATTGACTTATTTCTTTTATTTATTATATTTTAATTTCAGTTCTACTTCTATTTTATATTATGTTGAAGCTGTTTTGAGCCAGTGCACTTAAGCAGTTTTACTCTTTTTTAACTCGAGGTATTTTCAAAACCCCTCTTTACACCTTGACTTCATCTGACTAAGGAATAATTGACTTCAGATGTGCATACTTCTCCGAGAATCCTGTAACCATTCTATTTCTCTTGAAGAAACACTCTTTAAGTCATCTTAAATCCAAGACAGTAGGGTATATTAAAAGTCATACTTCCAAAAACATTGTCCATATCTCCGGTTTACTTAGGATTCATTTTGCTATTAACCAAATAGTTGTATCCTTTAAGAATCAATTTCACACTAATAGAAGAAAAGCATTTATAGGCACAATCTACATGATATTACATCTACTCATCGATATTCTGTATTGCTTTTAAGAGATAGCTATCATAAGCTAATTTGTGTAATCAGTTTAAAGAATACATAAGCTCCCGTTAAGAAAATATAATGCTTGAAATACCATTCCAAATTATAGTAGATATAGTACAAGCTATATCTATATCTATCTAGAAGCTATTTGATGTAAGTATAACTAATTTTCTGAAGATATATAGCATAACTTAATGTAGCAACATTTATTTTTTTTATGTATCCGGTTGACAACGAAAGGATTCCTAATCAAAGAAATCTTAAAGACGTGAAAACATACCTGAAAACGTATCGATCGACGATCGCTAAAGATATTTTTGGATAAAGGAGTATATGTCTTTAATTACATTTTATGTACGTATCTTGAAATCTAGATGCTGTCATGTCCTCCACAGGGTTCGTGCTCATGTATAAATGGGGTGGCGTAGTAGTATTGCTCTTTGTTGTATTATTTTTAGTTTCAGTGAACTATATCCATAGTAGTATACTTTGTTTGTGTAAATGTTTAGTGAAGCAGACGCTGTCCTGAAATAGCTTTGAAGATGTCAGTAATTTGAAAAACTGGGTATTAAATCAGTTTATTATTTATTTATGGAAATTTTCCTGAACACATGAAACTCTTTTGAAAAAAAAATTGTTATTAATCCTTTGGAGCTTCAGTATTTAAACTTTTACCGGTCATTGTCAAAGAAAGGCGGATAGCAAATTTGGGCTCAGTAGCCTTAAATGAACCAAAAAGAACTTGAGAAAGAGAAAGAGAAAGTGTGACATATTATTTATCTGCACATTTACCTATGCGTACCTCTCTGAGGGTTAGGAGGTCGAACTTTTGCTGTTGTTGTATTTACTATTAACTGCTAAAAGATTGAAAATATTTGTGAGTTTATTGATAACCATTAAAATAATGGTAAGTAATTATTTTATAATTCATTTAATTTCAAACTAAAGCTTTAAAAAGAAGTGCATAAAAATCATTTCCGCTCTTCAAAATCTAGCCATATGCCACCGTTTAGATATGCCATGAAATATATTTCATCCAAATAATTATCTTTGCGTGTCTTCGGGTTAAGCTTTATATTGAAATTACGTACAATTTCAACAATTGCAGCTTTCATTTGAGTGAGTGCAAAACGCATTCCTACATAATTTGTAAATAAATATATAAGTAATATCATGAATTAAAATAAAACAGTTATAGTTACCGGGGCACACTCTGGGACCATCTCCAAATCCGAGATAAACACCCATTTCACGATATTTCTTTACACCACCATTTTCCTCTAAAAATCGTTCTGGTTTAATTTCTTCTGGATCCTCATAGTATTCAGCATCATGATGTATAGCGTGTATAGGCACTAGAAGGACTTCACCTGGATGAACCTTGACGGTGTTGCCATTTTTATTGACGAATTCATATGTTTCTGTGCACAGTTTACGTGCAACTAATTGTGGTGGGAATAAGCGTAAAGCCTCTATGGATAAAAAATATTAACAAATTAAATAAAATTTCAAATACTTCTTTAGTACGATAACTTCATAATTACGAACCATGTACGCAGGCATCCAGATAAGGTAATTCACTTAATTTTTCAAAACTGAGTTCTTCATTACCGATCTCAGTCCGTAGTTTCTCTTGAGTTCTTGGTTCACGTGCAAGCTTAAATAATTAAAGCAATTCAATTAATTTTTTAAATATGAAATATTATATATGAAAATACCAAAAGTAAAGTATGTGCCAACACTGCAGAGGTGGTCTCGAATCCATCAGTCAAAAACGTCATCGTATGAGATATAAGTTCTATGTTCGTTAAATTTTTCTTCTCTTGCAATTGAAGCACATAGTTCAGATAATCCAAGCGTGTAGTATCTCTAGCTTTGCGTTTAATGTCGATGGAGGTACTCATTAAATCGAAGAAGAAGTTTTCAACATCCTTGGTGAAAAATCTTGCTGTGTAGATTTTACGTATTTGCGGTATTAGATTCGCAATTACAGTATACAAAATAAAAAAGGTGGATTGTTTAAAGACTTTCAATGTCATATCGAAAATCGGAGTAGGATTGTTTGAGAAGCTGTTGGCTTTTATTCCAAGTACACAGTCCGAAACGACCTCAGTAGTATAGCGTAAACATAACTGTATGGTAATAGATTTTTAAATTGAATTTAAATAATTTTAAATAATCACTCGGCGTCATACCTGTTTGGTTTCCAATCCATCTTTTGATGCCATTTTTATTTGATTTCTGATATAATCTGACAACGTGTTGCAAACTTTTAATGTAACTGGGTAAACAGCACTCACCTATTTTGCAGTTATTTAAATGATAATCGCATAAATTAAAGAAATAATAAAAAATTAAATTAGTTTTATTGAAAAGCCAAAGTGCTCGCTGCTCTCATGTATAGTACAATATTTGTATGATAACCTTTTCTGTATCATATAAAGGAAATTTAATTCTGGGTCATTTTTAATTATCAATTAAATAAAGAAATAGGCAATTAATTATTGTAAGTATTAAATTTGAAACTTAAATATATTTGAATTTTATTCTAGTTTTTTTACTTACACGATTCGCTGTCAGACCCGGTGTTATTTCAGCACGTCTTTCCTTCCATTCCTCGCCAGTGAGGAAGAAAATATTATTGGCGAGTATAACATCGTTATTTTTATCCACCTTACAATAAAAATAAAGCAAATATATATGTTAATATGTTAATATAATTAATTAATTAATTAATTACAAAATTAACTTACAAAATTAGCAAACTCATTGTCGTGAAAATTTCTGAAATCGTTGACGAATATCTTATGTGCGTATTCGGGGTTCACTATTAGTAACTGAGGTGTGCGAGCATTGTATACTCCAACAAAATTCTCATCTTGTTTGTATTTTCTATTATTGATAAAATTAGTATTGAAAATAATTAAACAATTATTTAATATAATATTATTACGAACGTACTGATATAAATCATTTACATCGTATACAACATGACGTTTCTGCGTAAATTGACTGGGAAAACTACCAACAAATGGGTATGACTTTCCCTCTTTGACACCCAATTTTTTCCAATAACCAAAGTTCCATACTAGAAACTTATAAAATAAACCAGCGACCAGTGCTAGAAGCACAAAAGTAGTAAAAAACGGACACATTTCTATATATGACTTGCGTCCTCCTTTCTTTGTCCGATACTAAACTCAACTAAATACAAAAGTTTCGCATTCGAGAGCACTTTTGCTACTTGTAGGCTCTATCTAGACTAATTGAAATCAATGCAACATAAACATTTCCATTCGCTTTATTATTTATTAATTGAGCAGCCGAAGTCCCGCACTGTCTAAAACCATAGAGCAGACATTTAAATAAATTGTGCTTTGATCATTTATTATTGTTTTTTTTTGCCGGTTCTTAAGTGGCATATGGGTGCTCAAGGTTAGATAACAAAATATTTATAATTAAAAAAGAAAAATTTAAAAAAATATTTT